ATTTATCTGGACCAACTGTGTGGCCTTAAACACCCAAAAGGAAAGTATAACCAAATATTAAAGGGGTCAATCTAATTTCATAAGAGTCCATATGCATAGCTAAAGGCTACATAACAAGCAACAATGCCAGCCAGGTGATACCTTCTTTTGAGTTGTTGGCCACGGTGGCCAAAGGGATTCCCAGACAGTAAGCCAGCCTAGAACTGGGAAAATGAACAGCAGACCCCAATCTTATCCAAAGGAATATTGACAACTGATTACCACTAGATGAGGAACAGCTGACCCTCCTAAAACAAAGACCTCTAGATAGGCTGACTAGATTCACCAGAAGGGCAAGTAGTGGGGAATGGCTGGGTGCCGACAACACAGCAGACAGTAGCAGTGATATCATAGTATAAGAGCTCTAGTGGGGGGAGGGACACTATGGGAGGGTGCTATCTGGGAAGTGGGTATAAAAATAAAAAAAAAATTTTTTTAATCTAGAATTTTCAAAAATAAAAGCATGGATTAAAAAATGCGAAAAAAGGGGGGGGGCAGGAGTTCTGATTCTAAGGTGAATATGAAATTTGTTCAAAGGGAGAAGGCCTGGAATCCAACACTGAGTGAATTCAATTTTTCTGTGCTAGGAAGTTGAACTGAAACTTACTTAGTTTCTTCCTTAAAAACCACACTATGCCGGGCGTGGTGGTGCACGCCTTTAATCCCAGCACTCAGGAGGCAGAGGTTGGTGGATCTACATAGTGGTCTACATAGTGAGTTCCAGGACAGCTGGGGCTACAGGGAGACTCTGTCTCAAAAATACCAATAATAATAATAATAATAATAATAATAATAATAATAATAATATAAAAATTACACTGTATAGCAGCTGAGAAGGTAAAATTAAAATGCCACATTTGCCTTTTCTTATTTGTTCTCTCAGAGAATTCTAAGTGTTCCTGAAATATGGCTACAGAATCAGTTGGCAGCGGTTGGCAGTTCTCCTTTAGGCTCCTTGGGGTATCACCAGAGGGACAGAGTCCCTAGCAAATTTGGGCTGAATTCTCATCCAAATGAACACCTGCTGTCATTGTCCATTATCAGTCCTGCACTCAACATGGCCAGTTCTCTTCAGGGTGGACTCTATTCAAGGAGGAAAAGGCCTGCCAATGTTCCACGCTGGTTTTTATTTTCCTATCCTTTTACTCAGTAGTCAGTTGCTGAATATCTTGGAGACTGAGCTAACACTGAGGTTTTATCTTTTACTAGATGGCATGGTAATATTCTACATTAGGAATTTAGTTAATTAGGTTTCTATTTAAATATTCCATTAGTTTCTCTCCCTTCTCACTTCTCTTTCTCTGTTCAATTGATGCTGCTTTTCAAAACACAATTTTTTATTGTAAATATATATACTTTAAAGAAAATTATAGTAACAGTCTATAGATTAGTAGAAACAAATAATTTAAGGAGAAAAAAATTCAATGATATTTTCTCAGTGGGTAAGCAATGTCCTGGTTTGATTTCCCTTTGATTGTTAAACTGTTTTGTTAAATGTGTGCATTGGATTTGGAGTTATTCCAGTTGATTTTGTACCCAAGTAAGAGTTGATTTTGTGCCCAAGTAACTTTAAAAAGTCATTGTGCCACATATAAACCACAGTTCTGATTTCTCCATAATTTCATACTACTTTAAGACAACTGCATAACCTAAAATATAATACGATTTTAACTTATTAGTATTTATAAATCTGTAATAAGATATGAGAGCTATTAGTCCAATAAGAGTTAACCTTGTTAACCATTTTTATTTTTGCTTCAAAATTACATTTTAGAAAAATTAATCCATAGAGGATATTTTGAGTAACTTTTATTCCAAGTGTAGCTTCTGTATTCATCTGTCTATGGTTTGTGCTCTTTTACTTTCTAAATAACTCAATTACTTGACAATTTTTAGAATGTAAAGTGTATATGAATAACTGCAGTCCCTGCTCTGCATGGAATGCCACTCTGCCATCTGCAGTGAGCCTAGGTCCCTCTTGTTGGGCCTCATGCTTTGTTATGCATGAGCAAACACATTAGCCTTTTCATTTCATTCGTTAGACTTTTAATCCTTGATTAGTGTTTTCAAGATTTTCTGAAATACACAAGTTCTTTATTTCTTTTGTGTTGGTTTTCTTTTTCTTTTATCACCACTCTGAAATAAAATTTGCATTTAATCACAATAGCTCTTTTTTATTAAGATGATTGGTAAATATATTAGTCTCTCATTTGAGTGATTAATCATGTGTAGATGAAGAATGGAAAAAATATCTCCTCACTTGGAATAACAGGACTGTTTAAAGTCAGTTAGAATGGCTGTGTTCAAAAATCTTAGTTCACAGCACTCCACAAATCCCACACATCCTGTGTGATGCTTAAAGGAAAACTCTGACTGAACTTTCAAAAAGAAAGTGGTACTCATTAGGGTTCAGAACCACTGGCATTTGGCATTTTAGAGCTAAGTTATACTTGTCAGCAATTCCTGAAAATAAAGCTTTCTCTTCATTGATTTTGTTAAAGGAGATAAGTCAGCAAACTTCATGTGGTATGAACAGTTGTTAACTACATGTCTGTGCCATGCTGAGCAAACTGAAACTAAGGATTATACTTGCTCTTACCACTCACTGTCTTTTTACCCATGGTTAATCTATCTAAAGGAGTGTCCTTATGTTTTTCTACTGAAGTCATCATTTTAACCTTTACTAGAAATACTTTCAACTACTATTTGGCAATTATCACAGTACTCACTACTTTGAACATAATATGAGCATGGTACCAAAACCAGGTATTAAAAGAGATGCATAAATTAAATACACATCAATTTCATATGTAGATATAAGGGGCCAGTTTTGACATGATTACATAGTCACACTTGCCTAGACTTAACATAAATTATACATACTTCACTAATTATAGTACATCTTAACAATAATATTATGAAGAAAGGGTTAATATAAAAATCTTGGTTGTTAATTTACATGCTTTTACAAGATAGTAAAATCAAAACTATCCTTTTTATATTTCCCATTTTCCTCCTAGGATGCCTCCATTGCCCACAGATTCCATATCATGCGAGAAAAGCACCCAGAAAAATTCAACAGTAGGTAAGGCTGTAACTGATGAATTCATAATTATGATTGCTGTTGAGAAATATGATGTTATGAAAGATCACAACTGTGGATTATTAAACCTTCAATATGTAAGTACTGAACGCAGCTCAAAGTAGGTGTATATAGTAACATGAAAAGTATAAGTGAACTGAATGTTTCTCCATTGTGTTTTATGGAACTAAAATTCAGTATGCAGCGTGGTCATCTCTATTCCTTTCCCATATGTTATAAAGGAAGTATTTCAAGTATATGTTGAAAGTGATGGTTAATTAACACATATGAGAGGTCTTCATATGACTCATTACAAGAGCAGTGATCAATCTTAATCCCATAGAAAAACAGGGTTGATAATGCTGAATAATCTAGAGTTATACAGGCATCTTATTCCTCTCCAGTCTCATATCAGCTTCAAGTAAAAACCAAGGGAATTGGAGTAGTATCAATAATTATCAATATTAGTAAAAATATTTGTACAATAATAGTGTACAAATATTTTTTCTCAAAAAATGTACACAGTGGCCTTCGCTCTTATTTAAGGAAATAGGCAAAGCTTCGTTCTGTATCTGCTCCATTCTTAAGAGGAAAATCGTTCTCACCGCTCCCCTTGCAAAGTGGGGCAGAACAGGTGAATGGACATTTGCTCTTGTTTGTACTCTTTTCCACTCTGTATCTCATAAGTCGAAAAAACTGTAATCTGGCTGTGTAGGCATTTAGGTGACTATACATTAGTGTTCAAAGCCTATACATTAGTGTTCAAAGCCAAGATCTCTGTGCCCTGTTTGTCCATACTAATATATTTCCATGAGGACATGAGATTTACTAGGTAAGTGCTCCTGTAAATTCTTCTGTCCATGCCAATTTTGTCACATACTAGTGCCTGCATAATGTTCTTTCATGTAAATAAATTCATAAAAATAAATGCTATGAAATGTACTTTAAAAATTATTTTAAATTTTTCTAAATTACGAATTTGAGTGTACTATTTATTCAAGAATCGTCTTAGTAAACAATCTCATGATTAGTGATGTCCTTTTTGGGGTTTTTTTCTTTCAAAGGGAATTTTACTTTTACAGCGTAACCTGAGAGGCTTCAACGATCTTACATTTATTTAAATATTTTGGGAAAGCAAATAGACACTTCTAATAACCTTTGCAATATTGCTTTGAATTGTTGTTTAGATTATAAATCATAAATTTTGAAGTTATAACATATTTGCTTATTCACCCTTAGCCCAGAAAGCTATAACTTTTGTAAAAAACAGAATGGAAAAAAATCACATATCATATTTTAAGAATGATTCAGAAAAGTTTGTTGTCTAGTCTCTTCTACAGTGGGGAAGTGGTAAGAACAGGGGTTTTTTTTTGTATACTTTCCTTTGTGCTCTTTAAATTTTGCTCTGGATGCATTATGAAATTCATATAAAAGTACTCTATATATTTATAAGTTGTCTTTGTTTCTAAAAAGAAGATACATCTAATTCTTTATAAATTTAGCTCTACTTATACAACATGTGAAGAAAATTATGTAATAAAATTTCTTGAAACAAGTATAACTTAATTTTTTCCTTGCCTGGCTTTGTCTTTCTCTCTGTTTTTCACTCTAGTTAGGACTTTGAACAGTGTGGAATAGAGCTTGCAAATGCAGCTTTTATCTTATTCCTGATTTTAGAGGAAATGCCTTCTCGTTTCCCCCATTTAGTATGATGTTGCTACAGTTTTGTTGTATATAGCCTTTATTATGTTGAGATATATTCATTCTACTCCTAGTTGCTTCAGGAGTTTTAATATGAAAGAACATTAAACTTAGGGGTCTTTTATATATCTATTGAGATAATCAGGTGATTTCTATTCTTAAAACCCATTGACGTGTTTTATTGCAGTTATTAATTTGTGTACATTGAACCACTCTTACATCCTGGCATATTATCTTCTTGGTATGTTCTTGAATACAATTTCCAAGAATTGTATTGTAATTTTTTTAAACTTTAACATAAACTTTATTGAGAATTTCATATATGTATATAAGGCGTTTTGAAGAAATCCATGCCCACTCCCTCCCCTCCAACATTGTAATTTTTAAGTTAATTTATTCGTTTGCATTAATTAAATTTGTTCTTAAAAAGTCTTGCACCTGTAAGCAATGCATACTGATCACTCCCCCCCCCACACACACACTTTTCTCTATGTTAAGAAAATTAGTCTACTGGTTTCTTTTTTGTTGTTACATGTTTATCTGATTTTTGGTATTTGGGTAATATTGGTTTTGTGGAATGAGTTTGGTATTGCTATTTCCTTGTTTTGAGGAGCAGTTTGAGGGGACTGGGTATAAGCTCTTCCTTAAGGGTTTGGAAAAAATCTGCAGTGAATTTACATGGTCCAGGGTTGTTCTTTGTGGGAAGACTTTTTATTACTGCTTCAATCTCATTGTTTGCTATAGATCTGTTCAAGGCTTTTATAACTTCTTGATTTAATTTTGGAAAGTCATGTGTCTGGGAATTTATCCATTTATTCTAAAATAAATAAATAAATAAATAAATAAATAAATAAATAAATACCTAGGAATAATCTTACACAAGGATGGAAAAGTCCTGTAAATGAAAACTATAAAAACTGAAGTAATTAAGAAAACACTAGAAGATGGAAAGAGTGTCCATGTCTATGGATTGGAACAGTTAATATTTTTCAATTGCTGTATTACCAGCAATAAACTAGAGATTAAATGTTATCCTCTTCCAATTGCATTCTTCACACAATTGTGAAAAACAGTATTAAAATTCATATGGCAGTCCTGTAAATGAAAACTATAAAAACTGAAGTAATTAAGAAAACACTAGAAGATGGAAAGAGTGTCCATGTCTATGGATTGGAACAGTTAATATTTTTCAATTGCTGTATTACCAGCAATAAACTAGAGATTAAATGTTATCCTCTTCCAATTGCATTCTTCACACAATTGTGAAAAACAGTATTAAAATTCATATGGCAGCCAGAAGACCTCAGACCGCCAAAGCCACCTTTGATGGCTAATATTGGTTGTCAATCTGACACAGCTGGGAATCTCAGTTGAGGCATTTCCACCATCAGATTGGTCAGTGGGCATGTTGATGGCATTTGCTTGATTGCTAATTGATGTAGGAAGTTCCTAAGATTTGTGGACAGTGTCCCTCCCGGGCATGTGGGCCTTGTCGGTATAGGAAATGTAGCTAAGCAAGCCAGGGAGTGGGCCACTAAGCAACTTTCCCCCATGATCTCAGCTTCAGATTCCACATTCAGATTTCTGCCTTGATTTCTCTAGACGATGGCTTACTGTTACATGTAAGCCAAATAAACCCTTTCCTCTCTGTGTTTTTTTGGTCAGTAGGTTGATCATAGCAACAGAGAAGTCAAACTAGAACATCTTAAGCAAAAATAGCTATGCTGATGTCCTCATAATACCAGATCTCATATTCTACTACAGAGTCATGGTAACAAAACTACCGTGAAACTGGCACAAAAGTGGCCATGCTGACCACTAGACTTGCTTAGAGGACCCCCAAAAACAAAAATCCACACAGCTACAGCCATCTGATTTTTGACAAAAACAACTATTAGAAAAAAAGACAACTTTAACATGTGTTACTGGGAAAACTGGATTTCTTCTTGACAAGAATGAAATTGGATTCATATCTCTTACTATCTCTTACTGTGCACCAAAAAAATCAATTCAACATTGATCCAAAACCCTAATTCAAAACCTGAGATTTTGAAACTCTTACATAAAAACTTGTCAGAAACATTAAGTTATAGAAAGAGATAAAATATTTCTGAAAAGGATTCCAACAGCACAGAAAATAATCTCAAGAACTGATAAATATGATTACATGAAGTTTAAAAGCTTTTCCAAAACAAAAGAAACAGTTACTAGAGTGAAATGATGGTTTACAGAATGTGAAAAGAAAATCTCTGACAACCATAAATCAGACAGGGGATTAATATCTAGACTATATAAAGAATTGCAAAAGTTAGACCTTGAATTCTCCAATCACTAAATGTGTTAATGAACTGAAAGACAGTTCTCAAAAGATGAAATACAAATGTCTGATAAGTATTTGAAAAACCATTCAACATCCTTATCCATCGAGGAAAGATAAAATAATATCAGTTTCTGATTTCTTCTCACCCCAGTAAAAATGGTTATCATGAAGAAAACAAATGACAACAGATGCTGGAAAGATATAGGAAAAGAGGAACACTTATTTGCCACTTATGGGAGTATAAATTGGCACAGCCAATTTAGTACGGAGATTCTTCAGAAATCTAAAATAGAACCACCATATAACCCAGCTCTGCCACTCTTGGATATATATCTGAAGATTCTGAACCAACACACCACAGGTGCATTTGCATCTCTGCAGTTACTGCTGAATTACCCGTATTAGGTAAGAAATGATTTCAGCTTAGGTGACAATCAACTGATATCAGATAATTAGATAAAATTAATATAGGGCTTGTACACAATAGGAGTTTGTTCAGTCGTAAAGGAAAGTGAAATCATAACACTTGTAAGAAAATGGTTGCAACTGGAGATCCTTATGGTAAGCAAAATAAGTCAAACTCAGAAAGACAAATACCATCTGCTTTTCTCATTTGATGACTCTAGATATGTGTGTGTGTGTGTGTGCGTGTGTGCGTGCGTGTGTGTGTGTGTAGTGTGTGTACAGAAGAGATCTATATATGTAATTTTACTTTGTAATTTCACTTGATATTATATCATGCCGATTGTGGAAAGAAATCTAGTTGTTAATTCAAATTAACGATTTCATAAGGTAAAATATTCCCCAACTGTCAGTTCATGAAGTTTATATTCATATATTAAAAGAGGTTTTAGGCCCAAAGAAGCCTGTTTCCGAAAGGAAGCATGCAGTACACTCTCTTCGATACTCCCATGATTAAAAACTCATTAAAGAAATACACTGGGGCAGGGGAAATGCAGTACATAAGACATTAATTTTCCAA